TTACCATTACTACTCCCTTCTTTTTAAGTATCGTCTTCCTACGTTCAGTACGTCACCTAGACGACAGAATTGTATTTCAGGTCTTTCCCTACACTTTTTCCAAAAAACTATAGGAATGCAGAATCGATTCAATCCATAACCTATATTTCATAGACAAACTTAAATTCTAACTCGAGAACTAATTACCGAGTGCTTACCAATATCATGAGACAAAGACCTTGATTTTTACAAAAAAAAAAAAAAGAGGAAAAACGTATTAACCTTCAGCAACTTAATAAAGCATATTTAAATTAAGAACCGTAAAGTGGTTAAAAAATTTAAAAACCACTTTAAAAAACCAACAATAACGATTGAAAAAGAAAAAGAAAGAAAAAAGAATCCACTTTTGAAATTTCCAAAATTTTTGAACGAAATTATCGAAGTATTTCAGACTTAATTATGACACAGTTTGATGATGGCTGGGAGAGTGTTTGTGACCCAAAAACCCTTACACGCAAGTGATAAGACACAAGAAAACTTTGAAAAAAAAAAAGAAGAAAAAGAAAGAGAAAAGCGCTTCATTATTATGAACTGGAATTGGACTGTACCAAATATGATGCTCTTCCCAGTTTCAATACCTTTTAACCTAAGGAAGTTGAATGGCAATATTTAGGGTATTCAAAATATTGGTGTATTACTTCATTTTGCTGGTTTAGGTAAATATATAGTTACAAATTAACTACGTCACAAATATATCTGCAAAATAATAAGCAGTTGTACAGATAAAAATACAAGTAATTTAGCAAAGAAAAAGCGTACAAATAAAAAAAAATTTAAATTTTTAATTTGTATTCAGTTACTCATAAGGTTGTTTGACATGTTTTAAATTTGACCAATAATTTTAAAATAGAATTTGACGGTAAGAGTCTTTATATGTCTTTGCTTGTAACTTTACTGTTGCTCCAAATTTGTGGCAACAGCTTTAAATTTTCAATAATACGGATATTAATTGGTAATGAACGATAACAATAACTACGTAAACCTCAAAAGACTATATGACACTTTGACTTGCATTTTGTAGTGATACTACTTGCAGTTTTACTATGTTCACATTTAAATCAGAAAGTCTAAATAACAAAAAAATTTTTTTTCTACTCATAACTATAAACAGATTAAAGAATCGTTTTCAATAACTTTCTAGAAAAAATCACTTGAGCACGTATCAACGCCCTATCATATTTATCAGTGATACTCCAAATGATCTTCCAAAACTGAACTGTTGGCTCTCGTAAAACTTTCAAGCTTTTTTTTTATCTTCTCCTCTCCTTTTTTTACGAGGAAGAACCGTAACTGATTTTTTCCCCATATTTTTTTTCAGTAACAAGGAGCGGCACATTAAGCCCCTCTTAAAAAAAAAAAAGACTAATTTTCAGTGTTCTATACAGTTTTTTAAAGTCTTCAATTAATTTATGCCATCATATACACCATCCATTTTAGAACAATCAAAAGTTTGAAAGTTTTGCAGTTTTTCAGTGAAGTTGCTAAGAAAAGTTAGCAGTTGAAGTAAACTGAGCGATGGATATTCCAATTTTTGGAGATTGAACAGCTTAATTTTAAATTTCTTTTTACTTTTAAAAAAAGCTACAAAAGATTTCATATGATAATTCTAGTGCATTCTCACGCAGGTGCAACTTTATAATCTTGCTAAGGAAAGAAATTATTGCGACTCAAAATTTTTGCTGGAGTTTGCTAACAAATTTTTGGGTGATATAAGTGATAAGTGATATAAAGTGGTTTAAAAAAGTGATAAAAATCGTTGTCTGTGTGTTTTTATTGAACTAAATGATAACACTTTGTTGTTTATTTTTGAACTAGTCTTCCTGATCCCTGAAATCGCATTCTTCCGCTTGGGTGAATTTATTGTAGCTAAATGCGTTTTAATCAGTTCGCTGCTTCATTACCAGTAAACTGTTCTTAGCTATATGCACCTCCCTGTCTCAATCATAACCGATCCTTTCCATTAAGGTAGTAATCATAAATAAGCCATGCTTCTTTTTGTGAAGCAGTTGCCAATTATTATGTATTTTTGAACTACCAAGAAAACTACAGGCCCAACAGTGAAACTCCAACTTAAGCTAACAGGAAGACAACACTCTGGAGCTGGTACAACGAGAAGAAGTGTAGCCGAGTAGTTTAGAAATTTCTTGATGAAAGCCTTGAGAATTAAAGATATCAAATTGACTTTAGATGTAATCCATCTTAAATGAAACCAATCTTTGAAATATACTTCAAACCAACTAGATAGGCCAATAATTTATGGGAAAACGCGGAAGTTATCTCTTCCACTGTTACAACAATATGTTCGTTCAGGTCCGTTATGAATTTTGGATATAGTGCTGTTATCTTTGAACTATAAATCTTACAGCGTTAAAATTTCGCAAGCAATAGCGCGTAAATGAAAGGACGTTATTAAAGGACTGCTGAACTTTGAAAGGATCGGAATCGGTGAATTCCTGAGGTTTTTGGTTGGGGAGAGTGGTTGGCATTTTGTCTTCCATGACACTTTCTTGGATGTCTTTGGGATTTGGGGGAATTAGAGAATCCGTGTTCAGCTGTAGTTGAGATAAAATTTTGGTTCCTTTTTTTTTTTTTTTCCGAAACCCTACCTATTTTCGTAG